TGCACGGCCTTAAATTAACCTCTAGGGGTAGGGCAGACAAGACTACGTGGAGTCGGTTTGGCGGCGATTCGTTTCTGTCACAAACTTTTGTAGCAAGACATGACTTTTAAGATAATATTTTACTTTAAGGTAAAAAATGCTATTTTATGGCATCATGCCTAAAAAAATTCTTCCAAGTGAAATTCTGCCATCTTTATAGTATGCCAAGTGAAATTGTACCAAATAAACGTTAGGCGAAACGAAATTATGCGCAATTTTAACTCTGCCAAAGGTAATTATGCTAAATAAAATTATGCCATCATAAAAGTATGCCATTGTAAATTCGGACATATAAACATTCGGCCGAACAATAATCATACTCAATATTTTTTATGCCTTAAACATATTCCGTTAAAGAAATTTCTGCCAAGTGTGTTATGCGAAATAAATTTCTAAACATTAAGATTCTGCCAGATAGAGGGAACCCGTTTTTTTTTATTACCAATTAAAGCAAAGCACCACAATGGAGAACCTTAATTTATTTTAAATGAAACTTGAGTTTTATAGATTACACAGGCCAACAAAATTGACAAAGTTTCTTACCCAGAAACCAGAATATACTTTCTCGAAGAAGAATCGAGAAAACTCGACGTCATTTGAAAACTGAAGACTTGAAGTTTAAGATACCCTGTGTACTTTTTTAGACATAATATAATTTGAAGGGTTACATAACCTGAAAAATTGGCAAAAATGTCGTTCTTGGCACTTTTAGGTTAGAATATCTCAAATACCTGACGTGATAGAGCAATTCTGCGGCCGGATTTCGATTCAGGGCACCAAAATCTTTCTGCAAAGCATACTCTGGTTTCTGGGTAAATTTTTTTGTTGGCCTGTGTTATAACAAGTTTAATGTTTGTTTGTTTTCGGGTTCTTATTTAACATGGTATACTGCATTAAACACACCTTAAACATCAAAACTGTAGAACATCACATAACATTTTTTTCAGTGCGGAACTCCCCTCGGATACCACCCACCGCCCTGGTACCCCGACGTACCTCGGGCTGTCTGCTGTGTGGGAACCCGGATGTTCCCCTCTTGCTCCGAAGGGCGTGCAAGCTCCGTAGCGCGTCGCGCCATTACCCACCCCGGTCTGCTTCTGCTAGAGTGACAGATGGCCTCACCTGTCACCCTCAGGCCTGCGCAGAGCGACCTCCGCCCTCCATAAACTCGAGCCGTCTGAGGTACTTGGCCCGTTCTCGGGCCTGGCGAGCCGGGAGGGTTCTGAACCTCTCCCGGTCTCGCTCCACCATCTTCTTCGCAAGCATAACCTGCTCACTGAAGGAGACGTCGGAGTTCCACGCACTCTCGCTCCGCACCATGGCCGCAATCATGTTACCGAGCGAGAGATCTCCCACCCACCCACGATGGCCGCCACGAGGTCATGCCTCTGCTCCACCAACGCCGGGCATTATTTTGAGTGTGGAGCGCCGTGTCCACGGTCCGGTCATCGCAGTGGCGGCACCCAGGCGTTGGCTCCTTACGGATCAGACACAGGTGATCCCCGAAGCATCCTTTTCCAGTGATCACCTGCGCCAACCGGTATGAGACGGTCCCGTGATGCCTCTCGAGCCAATCCTCCATAACGGGTCTTACCGCCGCGATAACGGCGTGCCCAGCGCTCCTACCGTGTTGCCCAAGTCGTTCCTTCCACTCCTCCACGAGGACCTGACGGAGCTGGGATTTCTGATCCTCGATTTCTCGAGAGTCAGGATTCCGTCCCAGCTCCCGCGCCTCCTTGCGCCACCGATAAAGAGCCGCAAGGGCTCTCGCCTACAGGTTCCATGGTGGAGTTCCGGCTAGGAGACTCGCCGCCTCAAAGGAGATCGTGCGGTACCCTCTTATGACCCTGATGGCCAGTACTCGTTCCGGTCGTCGCAGTAGTACTACGTTGCTGGCCTTCAGGGCTTCCGCCCATACTGGGGTCCCATAAAGGGCCATGGACCGCACAACCCCCGAGTAGTCTCCTGCAGGAGTCATCGGGTCCCCTCATGTTGGGTAGCAGCTGCACCAATGCACGCGCTGCTTCAACCAACTTGGGGACCAGACCTCGGAAATAATGTCCGAAGTCTCATCGGCCATCAAGTACGAGCCCCAGATACTTCATCGTGGGCTCGATGCCGATGCGAGAAACTGAAATACACTATAATTTTCTTGTTTTGCAGTACAATCCATTTGACAAAAAGCTGTAAACTGCCACGAATTATGATTTGATGAATATTAAGATATTACATTATTAGATTAGTTTTAGTTTTGATACTATGCTGTTTTGTTATTTTATTTTATTAGGTAGATAAGATAGAACAAATGTAACTTATACTGTATACTGTAAGATTTTTTTTAGTGCACTGCAAGTCTCCTTATGATTTTTCCCTCTTTTTCATTTAAATTACAGTAAAATATACATAATAATTACAGTAATAATATTACTGTACTTTAGTGTGTATTGTCATTGCAAAAAAATATCAAACACAGTAATATAGTTTTTAACTGTATTTTAGATGGTAAATTCAAAAAATCTTTAGCAGTAATATGCTTGTAAAATTAATATTATTTATATTTAAAACATGTTAGTGTCATACATAAAAAAACGTAGTCGTTAATATTTTAGAACACTTTCTTGCTTTAGTAAAATAAAAAGAATACAAAATACGTTTGATTATGTATTTTTTTCTTAATTTGAAACTTTAAACGCACATATCTCCGAACTGTGTTATGCACTTACTATACTTTAATGTCTGTAGGTACCATACTTATAGAATATAGGCTTCGACGCTTTTCTTGTTATACCAATACCATCCGGATGTACTCTGAACGCGTATGCTGATGACGGTTTATTATTGGTGGAATCCGATAGAAGGGCGAGGCTTAAAAAATTAGCCAATAGATGTTTGAACTTAATATCTCATAATATAATCTCTAATATCGCACTGAGGCTTTGCCGGTGTGCCCGCCAAGGGTGTGCTTACGGTCGATCTCGAGGTGCAAAGACGTGCAGCCATGTACCATTCAACACTACAAAACATTGAATGAATGGATTGGAGAAGATGGAAATTTTCTCCAATCTTGCGATAAAATCACAAGATTGCTTCAACAGCAATCCGTTGTCTATAATGACCTCATGGAGGAATGGCAAAAACGGTGGGACCAATCATCTAAGGGGCGCTATCGTTACCACTTCTTTACATCAGTCACTTCGTCGCGCAATTTCATACAGGTCATGGTAACTTTTAGAGCAAACTGTATTCATTTAAATTAGTCGAGTCGCCATTGCAGCTTATTTTAAGAAACTAGGAGAATAAATGTTTATTTGCATTTTCTTTTGTCTCTGCCTGAATGAACTCTATCGTCTATGTACCGAATAGTTTCTTTTTTAAAGGATTTATTTGCAAAGATTTTTATAAAAATCCTGTTCTGACGATGGGTTTCATTTTATAAATTAAACAAATAAGTTCATTTTTTTAAATATACAAAATGAGCATACAATATGTAAATCAGTCACTCTCACTTACACTCAGAATTGTCACAAACGACGAATTCTAACTGATATCGTGTTGTTATACTATACATTTAGATGATGCGTCGACCTCACTATTAACGTCAATTCTAACTGGTGAACTTCCTTGAGGAGTTGTCTCACTGATATGTTCATCGTCGCTGATGAATTTATTTAATATATATAATACATTTCAATTGTATGAAATAATAGTTATTTCACCTGCAGTGAGACGATTCCGTTTTGCATTATGTATGTGAGCTTGCGCGCTAAATTTGCATTCTGCTGAATTCTCAATGCCACTTTACTTAATTTAGTAGAACTGAAATTATCTTTTCATCACACAACTGGCACAATTTCCCCTATTTAACGCCAAACAAATTGTTCGAACTGAATGATTTAAACCAGGTCTTTTGCCTATCTCTAGTGATGACCTTCAGTTTCCTCCAGATTTTTTTATTTTCTCTCACACAGAATGACATATCTTGACATATTAAAGTAGATACACAGTTATAGGTGAGTTGAATCTGTGTGAGAGACTGGTATCTGCACTAGGTACACCTGTATTACAAATTACCAGCCTCTCCTGACACTAGATGCGTAAGTGTTATCCTGTAGGTATAACTTGATTAGGTGAGAGCTAAAGCAAAGTGAAGTGAAGGAAAAATGTGTATGAGGGTGTGTGTGTGATGAGTGTGAGGAAGGTTGTGTGTGTGAATAGAGGTAATAACCCTACAACGATGAAGATGATGGTGAACGGATGTGCGTGATTGAACGTAATTTATAAAGGAAATACATTGCACTAATATGTGTAGATACGACTATACTTATACAAAAATTAGATCTTAGATAATTGTCTATTGCGGGACATATAACAGGTTTTCCGTTTCCTCATAACTGAGTGTTTTCAGCCAGTCAGAAATAGCCCTTTTGTAACGATATTTTGAAAGGCGATAGATGTCTAAAATTGCATTTACCCTGTTATATAAGTACCTGCCCATGAAACCAAAGAATTTACCAGAGAAAGCTGTGGTCCCGCGACAATCACTTTTTTGAACTACTTTATGTTTTAGCCGTTTATTATTTCATTACATTCCGTCTAGAATCGTAATGAAAACCTCTGGTAGCCCGACTAAACGTGAAGATTAAACTAAATTAAAAAAGCTAAAAATTAACTAACTAAAACTAAAAAAGCTAAACGACGTCTCAACAGTACTTATATACGTTCTTGATAAAACACATGCCATGACCTTTGTCCTAAAAACCAATAACTAAAATCCCGTAGTTCCAGTTCGAACAACAAAAAAAAGCGACAAATGTCAATGTCACATTTTGCAACACATTTGACGTGATATTATATTATCGATTTCGATTTTGAATATTATCTATTGTGGTCCGCGGTTTTTTTATTAAGGCATGGCTTGATAATAAATCATAATATTATCTAGTTAATAAAGTAATATAATAATGAATTATTTAGCAGTGCAGTTTTTAGTATTTACAACAGGTTCGATTGTTTACATTTTATTGATTTCAACTAAATTATAAACATATTTTGATTTATCATAGTCTCAATTCATGACATTAATAGTCGCTGAACATTTAAATCACTGTCGTTTAAATGTTTTTATCTGTTTTGCAGCACTATGTGGTTCATCTTCCTCAAGAGTTCTAGAATTAAGTGATAAATTTATCGACATTAGCAATGATGGCATGTGGTTCGTTAAATTTTATGCACCGTGGTGTGCCCACTGTCGCAGGATAGAGCCGATCTGGGCCCATGTCGCCCAAGCACTTTACAATAGCCCTATCAAAGTGGCGAAAGTTGACTGTACTCGTTTTACAGCGGTAGCATCACACTTCAAAGTTAGAGCATACCCTACAATAATGTTGTAAGTAAGCAATATTAACACTATGACAACTATGAACACAAATACTATTAAAAAATAATTAACACAATAGATGCTATTTTCATACATAAATTTGAACATGTTTTCACTTTTAACAGCATCAAAGGATCTTTCCGTCATGAATATGTAGGTGAAAGACAGAAAGATGAAATGGTGAATTATGCTATGCGTATGTCCCAACCAGCAGTGCAACGGTTATCTGCAGTAGACAGCTTGAGTGATTTAAAAGATTCACATTCTGTCTTTTTTGGATACATAGGGAAACAGCAAGGACCACTTTGGGTAAAGTTATTCTTTTATAACTAATTTTTTTTCGTGAATTTGATTGTATTTTAAATGTTTTTCATTTAAAATTTTCAACTTGTAATTAAGTTTTGGATTTTTTGTCTACTATGTATAAATGTACCTCTGACTGATTTCATGTTTATATCACATATTTCTATTTATCATTTTAAGCATTTTAAACCATGAAAGTCAATGAATAATAATATTAATCTTGTTAGCTAACAAACAAAAAATTTAAGTGTGTATAATTATTATATCATCATCATCATCTGCCTATCCTTTTCCCAATTTTATTTGGGGTCGGCGCAGTATGTATGCTTTTTCCATTCTACTCTGTCATGCGTCATCTCACTGTTTACTCCCTTCCTAGCCATATCCTCCTTCACGCAGTCCATCCACCTTATATATATATATATATATATAAACCTCCTTTCCAAGGAGAGGCCTATGTCCAAAAGTGGACTATTGATCGAGGCTGTTGATGAATTTTGTGATTGTCTATTATTAAGGAAGCAAACTAACTTGGCCATTGTGAACCTAATTTAGCATCTAAGGTGTATTCATTGTTGATGATCCAAATAAAATAAAGTTCAGTAAATTAAATTTGTTAGCTAACTTTTACATTTTTGCAATATGTGTATGTTATAATTGTGAAATTAATACATTTTTAATGTTACAGGAAATGTTTAATCTACATGCTGAGAAATATCAACCACACTCATGGTTTTTTGCAATGTCACATGAGTTAGTGAAAAATGAGTTGAAACCAAAGAATGGAACTTCAGTATTTGTGTATAAGGAGGGTGAAGCCTTCTTTTTTGAAGGTATTAATATTAGTGCCAAGTTTTTCTTAAATTTGCACCATCATCGGAAGAGTTTTAACTTCAAGAAATTATTATTGTATTTATGGTTTATATAATTATTATTAAGTCATATCTTTTTGAAACAGCTGACTAAAAGCATTTAATAATTATAAATAATTTAGGAAAAAAATTAATTATCAAAATTAATCCAGTTACACAAGATGTACTTTAAAACAATCAAATGGAATGTGTCAATAAAATTAAAGATTAAAAAACACATACAAAAATCGACTAATTAATATTTGCCATAACATGGTGTTGAACAGGAGTTGTTCCTTAGAATTTAATAAAATTAAAGTCTTTCTTGAACACAATTTTTCGCATTCTTTTTTAATAGCTATGGGAATGATACTATTGAGATATATAACATTGAAGAGGCCTATGTCCAGCAGTGGACTGCAATAGGCTGATGATGATGGGAATGATACTTTTATTTGTAAGTTATTACAATGTATGTAAAACAATTTATTACTAGATCAATACATGTATTTATAAGTAATAAATAATTCAAATTTTAATTAAAAAACCCATTAAAAGTAAGTAGAACTTTTAATGGGTTTTTTTAATTAAAAACTAGCAATTAATGACTATTATAATGTTAAAAATTATTATGATTCACAGCACATGAAGACAAAGAGGCCTTAAACAACACATTGGACAAATGGATAAACACAGAGAGATTTGGATTTTTCCCCAGAATATCAAGAGCAAATTTAAATGAACTAATGGATCTAGAAAAATATATTGTAATTGCTATTGTCTCTGAAAATAAACTAAATGAAATTACTCAAACAGAACGAGATTTTAAGGATATGATTGAGAACATTATCAAGTAAGTGCATCATAAACGCTTCATATACCTGTAGATTTGTAGTTAAGACCTTGTGAATTTGTATAGAATAGATGCTGCCAGAATTAAAAGGCTTATTAACTATATGCATTTCGAGGTTGAGCAATACAAATGAAAATAACAGTATGTTTCTTTTCAGAAAAAGAAAACGGCACCTCCATGAGAGATTTCAGTTTGGTTGGATGGGTTCTCCGGAGTTAGCAAACTCTATTGCCATGTCTGAACTAACAGTACCTAATTTATTGGTCCTGAATTCTACAACAGGCCACCACCACATTCCAGATGATGACCCTGTGCTTATGACTCCAGAAGCGGTCACAATATTCTTGGATCAAATACACAACCAAATAGCCCCAGTATGTATCTTTTCTTTTTTGTCATTCAAGGTTATTTGTTACACTCAGTCAGTAACAAAATATAGTAACCAACCACCTGAGCTATCCACCTGGTTGGTGAGATCTATAGAAAAATATTAGTGTAGAATAGAATAATGAAGAAGTAGAAAACACAAACTATGAGTAGTTTGGGTCTAAAAATTGCTGTCATGTCCTTGAATATTATTATTTCAGTATTATATCTATAAGATAAATTATTCATTCAGATCATAACCACTTTTTGCCCTTTTTAATCATGTTACTCTCGCTTCTTATCATCACGTCTTTTAGTTAGAACCCTTATTCCGATTTGATGAACTTTCCGACTTGAGTAATTAATCCCAACGATTTTTCGGCGCAGCCCGTTTCTTTTTTTTCGCACTTAGTTATTCATCAACAGCCTTTAACAGTCCACTGCTGGACATAGGCCTCTCCTTAGAAAGGAGGTTTTGGCCTACTATACCACGCTGGCCAGACGGGTTGGTATAGGGTTTGTGTCAAGTTTTCCTTCTCTCTGCAGTGCTGGTGTCCTGCGTATTTCGCTCCCTTAGTCGCCTCTTACGACACCCACGGGATGAATAGGGGTGGTGACACTCTGTATTCTTAATCCGTCACCACACGGAAACACACTTTGTTATTAATAATAGTTAATAGGACAATACAACAAGAATCTACTAGAATCAAATCAGGAAATGTGGAATTTGCCGTAAGGGTCATGCTTTTTCCTCATGCTTTTGTTTATTGTAAATCGCATTACTTACAATTTTAGAAAACAAATAATTAAATACCAAATGGCACAGTTACTTTATTATGTTTTTTTTTTATTTCCTTGCAATCTTCCAGACGTATGGTGGTAATAGCTGGCCTGTTCAGTTATATCGAGGGTTTTTTGAAGCTAGAACTACATTGACAAGTATGTGGCGTGGTAATCCAGTATTGACAGCGCTAGTATTTGGGCTACCTCTCGGATTTTTGTCTCTTATATGTTATTCAGTCTGCTGTGCTGACATACTTGATGCAGATGAGGATGAAGCCCCGGGTAAGAATAAAGACGTAAAGACTTAGTGTATATCTATCTAGTAAACTAATAGGGGTTAAAGTATGAAATTGCCGTTGTATAGTAGTAGACACTTTGAATTGACATAAAACCTTCATGGTGTGAGATTTTCCCTCTTCTTTTAAAAAATGTGCAACATTTGATTTTCGACTTTCAATTGTTTTTTTATACTTCAAAAATAAATAAATAAATAATAATAATAAATACGCAATATCAACGCTACGTTTGTAGAGGAGACTGCTAATGATGCACCGGGCATTTTTAGTTTAAAGGCTTTTGTAATGGAAACTTCGACTTGGAGAATGAACCACGTGGACGACACACACACACACACAGGTGAATAACACTGAATTAAAGGAGATGGTTGAAGCTGATCCGAGTCAAACTACTTAGGCATTAGCGGCATGGTTTAACGTTACCCTACCTACAATATTGACTGATTTGCATCAAAATCAATAAGATAAAAAGATATGAAAAATGGGTGCCTTGTGTTGCTTGTTGAATCGGTACAGAAATGAAAGAATATTGCATCGAATGTTTACGATAACCGTAAGCGAAAAATGCAGTGGCTGACCCCAGGTCAAACGCCGCAACAGCGCCGAAAAGCAAAGCTTACCAATAAGAAGGTAATAGTAACTGTTTGGTGGTCTCTTCATGGTGTTATTCACTATAGCTTTCTCAGGTCTGGTCAGGCAATAACAGCAGATGTTTACTGTGCCGAACTTCGAACAATGATGGCGGAACTGGCAGTGAAACAGCCCCGACTCATGAATCGATCTTCACCATTATTGCTCCATGATAACGCAAGACCTCACACTTAGGGAATGCAAATCTCCCGAGATTGGGGCTCAAGCGAGATCCGGGAGTTTATGAATAACAATAATCAAATAACAAGATCTCGCCAATTTCGAGATCTCGCGAGATTGGCAGTTTTGTGTTTTTTTTGCAAATAATCACAATATTTGTATAAATTAGAAAAAAAAAACTATAAATATTATAAGATTATAATTTATTTTCAAGAATTTTTTCAATAGACTTCAAACATTGTTTGACGTATCTGTCTATAATTTTTTATAAATTTCTAAGTAGTAAACTTTGACGTACGTATCTATCACATAACAAATGAAAGAAACAGCCAGTCTTCTCTTCTAATATCAAACAATTCTTTATCTTTTAGTAATAAAATTATAAGAGCCCCGATGCAAAAACCAACACTGCACACTCCTCAAGCGTAATTTACTCCCAGACAGCCAAGAGTTTAGCCTTTAAGTCGCTCTTCGATCTTGATGGATTTTTACGGAGAACTTTTTTTATTTTCCACCATAGAGTTTCGATCCGCGACAAGTCGGGGCTGTTAGAGTGCCATTCGATTGTAGGGATGCTTTTCGCAAGTAGCCACGTCTTCGTTGTCCTTGCAGTATGGCAGGAAGCACCATCCTGTTGAAAAATAAAGGAATCATGATGCTTAAGTGACGAAATAGAGGGCAGTAAATTCTCTTCCAAAAGGTTTTGATACCTTGTAGCATTAATAGAACCCTCCACAAACTGCATACCACCAATACCTTGTGCAGACATGCAGCCCCATATCATAAGAGACGCCGGAAACTTCACTTTGCGTTTGAGACAATCAGTATGAAATGCCTCATTTTTGTTCCAAATCACTTTTTTCCTTTCATCGCCGACTGTCACTTCAAATTTGGACTCATCACTCCAAATGATACTACGCCACTGATCGGAAGTCCAATTTAAATGATCACGAGCAAACTTCAACCTCTTTTTCTTTTGTACAGCAGTCAACAGTGGTTTCTCCTTAGCGGTGTAAAATCCGTAACCCATTCTTTTTAGGACTCTTTTGCAAGTATCAACTGAGACGTTTTTGTGAATCATGTCCTTCCATTGCACCGTGAGTTCTCCAGCTCGAGCACGACGATTATTTTTGATAATTTTCTTTAGGATTCTGTTTTCTACTGCACTTTTGATGCGTGGTCGACCAGTTTTCTTCAAACAAGAAGTCATTCTATTCTTTTTATAGTGCTGAATGATAGATTGGACTGTAGACCTGGGAAGTATCAAGTCTTTAGATATTTTGTAACTTGATTTGCCAGCATCGACCCCACAAACTATTCGCTTTCAAAGCTCTTCACACACGGGTTTGCCACGACCCATTGTTATTTGAAAACTAATGAAAAAGACTAAAAATTTCAGAATTTATACTGTCGCACTTGACACATGACACAGAATTACTTTTACAAATTTAAATTATGCAACATAATTGTACAATGAAGGAATAATCTTATTGAACTCACCGATAGACGAACTCTTTTGCATCAATTAACAATTAGACGAACTATTTTGCTTATAACTTCTTCGAATTTAAAACAGGATATGTATAAATTTAAAAAGCTAAAATAGTTTATTGGTTCATAATTAAAAAATGGCATAAGTAACGCGACATATGATAGTAGAACAGCTTAATATTTATGTAGATATACAAAAATAATGAAGTTAGAAAAATCTCACAGAGAAAATTTCACACTAGACGAACTATTTTGCATCAGGGCTCGTATTTTGTGTAAAATTTTACTCAGAGACACCTCGTCCCGCGACCGACTAACTCAGGCCGCCCCCTTTCGCGCACCGAACGAAACCGACAGATCGCAACTCCGTCCGTGTCAGTCCGCACTTCGCATAAGACGTTCTTATGCTCGAGTGCAATCTCGTTAAACTCGCCTTAGATCTCGCCCTTTTTTCGTCCGAGATCAATCTCGCTGAAAAAGGCCGAGATCTCGCGAGAACGAGATTGCATTCTCTACTCACACAACACCAGAAAAAGTTTTAATTCTACAGGAGCTGCAATTAGAAACCATATATCATCCTCTATACTCGCCAGACCTTGCTCCAACGGACTAACATTTTTTCGTGATTTGGACAACTTTCTACGTGATAAAAAAAAAAACATTAGAAAGTACAAAATGCTTACACACAGTTGGTCGACTCTAGATCTCCAGAGTTCTATCGTAAAGCCATAAATGAACTTCCGTTTAGATGGCAACAATGTATAGATAATGACGGTAAATATTTTGATTAAATAAATATGTTAAATCTTAGAAAAAACGAGTTTCAATTTTTCGGTACAAATCGGCAATTTCATACTTTAACCCCTAAATATTAATTGGTCCTTACTCCATCTCAAAGCTTGAATCTTCTGTACCATGTTAGTTCAGAAATAAATAACTGATACTCATAACTAATTTTGTGAAAGAAGCATTAACATTTTATATTCTTTCAGAAACTCACGAGAAAAAGGACTAGAAATGGATCAACATGTTTTTTTTATATTTTTGGAAAATAGACTTCATCGACTAGATAGACTTCGCTAATGATTGCTTGTAATGATTAAGAAATGGTTACGGTTTTTTTTTATTTCCTAATATTAGAACAAACCAATAATGTTGTGTAATTTATCTTGTAGTGTAAGGAACATTTAGAATATGGATAGGTGTACCATGTAATGTCGTCAAAAATACTAAGATTGTTTTCTAACCTGTTGTGTAAGTCACCTTACGGGGAATTTTATTTTGTGGGTTTACATGTAAAGAGTGGTAAACAATGAAGTAATGTTGGATATCGCGGGTAAGCCTGAAGTTGACATCTAGACTATATTTAGACGTGTAGCGCTTGAGAGAAAATCAATAATTTTAATGAATATAATTTAATAACGAATTATTTACTAACCTTTCTTCTTAGTTATTACAAAAGAGTTGTGAAATCAAAAAATATAAATATACTTACAGCAGTTACTTTTCACGAATTTTATATTTTCTATCAGCTTTCAAATCCCACCACCCAAATTTTGATGGGTTTATTCATCATCATCATCAGCCTATCGCAGTCCACTGTTGGACATAGGCCTCATGGGTTATATGGGTTATGGTTGGTTATGGGTTTATTATTCGACATTAAAGCCTTATTCGTCAGTGGCACATCTGTTAAGTACTACTTACCTATTTAAAAAACTTGAGGTCACCGAAAGTTACTGTGACCCGAAACAAAGTGTTAAATAAAAAAGGTTAATTCGCAATTCCCTTAATTCTAGTCAACGGCTAACGAACTTCTTAATTTATATTCATAATGAGTGTAGTAAATAACGCTAGAAACGTAACACTGCATGTACTTCCGCCCGCTACCACAATTTAAATTCTGAACTTTTTTTCTAGTTTTGTAAGCTTAAGGTGTTTGATTCTATGAGGTTTTTCTATATAATAAATAATAATAATAAATTCTTTTTTGTAACAAATGATCCATACAATTCAAGTGCAAGCCCTGATTCCCAAACTAGCTATATCGGGGATCAGTTCCTTCCCAAAAAAAATATTTTTGCTCATTGACCATTTGCTTCAAAGTGTTTTTTGAACCTATGACTTTTGTTGGGTTCGGCTCATCTTGGAACACCCAAACCGTTGATTGTTGTTTAGTTTCAGGATAATACGCATATATCCAAGAATTATCACCTGTGTGGCTATTATTGACAGCCTTTGAACGAAATTTTTTACGAGTTAAATCCATAGCGATAAAGACACGCAATTTTCAAAATGACGCCACAAAGGATAAACAAATGACAGCTACATGAAACAAATTGTATTCTTCAGCCAAAGAATTCCATTTTTAAATGTAATTTTTAACATATAATTACTTTTTTAATATGGTTCTGTAACTGGCCAGTTCCGGATACATAAATAGCAGCCCTCGTACTGAATGTCCAAGACATCTTGGGCATTACCACTTAGTTCACGATGGTTTCACAGTATTTCATCATCATTTAAATCATATCTAACTATTTTAGATTTTGTAAAAAAGAAAAATAAAACAATAAAGTAGTGATAAATAACTTATGCCTTGTTGGACTATCATAGTTGGTTTATATTTAACTTGGCCCCCTTCTATTCTGTTTCAATTTTCAACATTATGTTTGTTAGAAAGAGCCATTATTTCCCTTTTATCGTTCCACACAAAAATACACCGTTGCCTACGACCGGATGGCGTAGTGGTTTGTGTAACGGACTGCTATTCCAAAGGTCGCGGGTTAGATTCCCGCTCAAGTCAAACATTTGTGTGCATGAACATTTGATGTTTGATTTGGTCTGGGTGTTTCTATGTATAAAGTTCTATGTATTTACAAAAAAAAAGTATATATGTATTTATATCAGTTGTCTAGTACCCATAGTACAAGCTCTGCTTAGTTTGGGACTAGATGGCGTTGTGTGTATGTGGTAGAATATTATTCCAATTTGGTCTCAATCACTTCCGATGGTTATTTCTGCACCAACGCCTTCCAAAGGATCTTCCCAAGTCTGTAATATCTTTTCCAATTCGTCTAGAGAATCAGAAGTACAGGGGACGGTATTTTAAAATGGATCCATTGTTACTAAAAAATGAAACAATTCACTATTGTTAATTTCTAGAAACACGTGCATTGAAAACGAAAGGTAGTTTTTTTTTTGCTACGAAGTAACATATTTGAGTCAAAGTTTACCGTTAATTATAAACGATTTGTGATTATTTGGTACCTTTAGTGTACTTGTTGAAAATGCAGTACACCCGCCACGCTGACATACGTTAACAAGAATAACTGTAAACATGTTCCTACAATCAAAAATCAAATAATTCCAAAGGTACCCTAGTAAACAATTTGTTAAAAATGTTTCAATTCCAGAATCTTAATTCTTATATAAACTCGCAAGGTGAGACCTTGGCAACGTTAATTAAAATCTAAGTAGACCGACTTTCTACCAAAACTGATATGGAAATATAAAATACTGGATCTCTTGATATTGTTATGATCAACAACAAATTTTCAACCTGTTCGGATGTTGATCTCTGTTTATACAAAAGCATTTCGGGCTACATCTGTACGTACAATAACGACATGATGACTTAACTTACTAAACACGAAAATTTTTAAGCGAATGAACGGAAATCTATGATTCGAGGTGTCATACTTTCTAGCGGTGACTTGGCATTGTACAGAATTCAGAATCACATCAAAAAAACGTACGAAATTGTATGCTCAAAAGAAAAAAGTACTACAAAGACTTACGAGAAAACAATGATCAAATGATTATTTGTCGAAAACTGCTACATAGTGAAAACTATGTAGCAGTTTTCGACTTTCTTATGAATCAGAGAAAAGTACAAGAAGTGTATGTTCAGGGTTTAAAGCATTGACTGCACGGATGGCGTAGTGGTTTAAGCGGCCGCCACGCAGCTTCCTTCTACGCCGAGTGTTGTGGGTTCAAACCCCACATGGGACGACACTGTGTGATCCACAAATCGTTGTTCTGAGTTTGGGTATTATTAGTGTCAGTTTCATGTATGTTTGTAAAGTCCCCCGCGACACAGTATATATTCCGAATGCAGTTCTTTAAAAAAAAAATTAAAAGTAAAAAGTAATTTTATACGCCGTGCCATGCCATCTCACCGCTAGAAAGTATGACACGGGTCGTGCACTACATTAACGAACAATTTAATATGCGGTTAATATTACTATTTGGTTTATCCAAATGACTGTGTGTGTGTGTGTTATGTGTATTATTATTTATAATGATAATTTTAGTTAATTGGTACTGTGAAATTAAATTGAACGATAAAAAATGATAAATGATATTTATTTCTGAAAGTAAATCTTTTCAGATATTTTTATAAGTCGGACTTTACAGCTAGAAGGCGCCGGCATTTCCTAAGATTCCTAACCACAGATGTGTCTTTTTTTAAGTCCGTGTACAATGTTAAAGATAACTATGTGAGTACAGTATAGGGTCTTGGTTGGCCTTTTGAAGAAAAGACCATAGTATTGAGTCGGCCCGTCCATACAGACGGCATACGAGCCCCCGCCATTGTATGGCCTAACCAATATAATCAGGATCAACAACCCGGAACACGAAACTACCGCCTGCAGGACACTTGAGTAGGCCGTGGAAACACTCCAAACCACCAGAAAGTTACTAAAATAACATTACAAGCCTACACTATACTCACATTTACTACTCGACCGAGCGAACTAGACGACTGTCAAACGTGACGTCATTGACTTCGGGTACGGATAGCAGAATAATCCGAATGATTGACAGGTGTTATTTTTTCCTAAATAAAATTACTTGAAGTATTAAGTTTTACGCTTTGTTTATTATTAGTTCAACTAATGTTCCAAGTGAGCGCTAATCTTTATAAGCATTTGGTATAAAGAATTAGAATGTAACACGAGAAAATATTTTTATAAAAATTAGTTATTTGCGTTATTTACAGATATTTGATTATTACGGGTCTGGGTGCTTGTATGTATTATAATAAAGTATATATCTATAAATCAAAAGTATATAAGTATGTTTATTCGTTGTCTAGTAACCATAGTACAAGGTCAGCTTAGTTTGGGATTAGACGGCGCAGTGTCAATCATCATTATCAGAGCGTAGTGTTGTATACAAAAATGTGAATGATATATAATTATAATTATATAAATACGTCTATGGACAGGGTGAGGACTGCTGAACTTCAGGACTCTTAATATTTTTTCTCACTGCCCACTATGTATTATTTTACTTTTCCCCATATTCCACAACAAAATACTAACAGTTTTAATCATCAACAGCCTTTAACAGTCCACTGCTGGACATAAGCCTCCCCTTAGAAAGGAGGTTTAATAAGTAGCAAAAATTTTACAAATTAAAACAAACTTAACAACATACGAATGAAAGCTAAGAGAAAAATAATCAAACACGTGCTAGCGGTAGCAACATTGCGGACGGTACTAAGACGATCGCGGTACCTGCAGGGAGGTGCGGGCGGGGAGGCCGCATTCCACGTCTTGGTCTAAAACGCTTGGTCGAGTAGTACATATTTACACAAAAAAAAACCATATATTTCAAATAAACAAATTGAAAACAAACGAAATAGGAATTACAACAAAAAATTAAATGTTCATCACTTTTAAATGAGGGAATCAGCAGCATCAATCACAAGCAAATTTTTCACCTAAATAATCTGTAACCGTGTAAATTTGCACATAGTTTTTGTTTAACTAAGGACTTAAATTTGTTAATACATAATTCTTTATTGTAGAATCGCACGCACTGACATCGAAGAGACTTGCTTACTTTTTGTAATCTAGTCGTTCGCAACACGAGTGTATCTCTATTTCTGGTGTTAATATTCTGAACGTTGCTAAATTTTGTGAATAAATGAGTGTGCGTTACCCCAGCAAAATAATGTCGAAAATGGTCATTTAAACGTTATAGATAATTAGTTGCTCCCCTTCTGTAATTGTTAGGCTCATTTTTAAATTTGTTTCTCTTAAACTTTTTTAGTTATTTCAAAAAAACATTTCCTGCTGGGGTAACGTTTGAAACGTTACCGCAGCCAGACATTTTCTTTTTTAATTGTAATATTGAAATAAATTTTAGCTAGATAATTAGTTATCTGGACTAGGTAAATGTTACAACTTATTTGGTATTTGTATTTTCTTCGGCTGCGAAGTTATTCGAAATCCTGCTGGAGTAACGTTTGTGGGTTTGCTGGATCTCTGAAACGGGTAAGCGGATTGTAATCATCTTTTGTACATAACTTCTTAAGGATTAGTTTTACTTTGTTCGACAATAAAATAACAAAAATAATGGACCGTTTAAAAATTATTTAGGTAAGTATGAAAACACTTCAATACGTCCTAACACTTTAAATAAGACCTCTAAAGACTTACTTCAAACGTTATTCTATTGCTTGTAACTACCTTCAAATGTATACGAATTTTCGTAAGAATACTATAAGTGACTAAAAAGTTATGATGAAATGTAGCTCTCCACGTTCACGATCACAATGTGTGCGGCCTTTTTTGGCCACCGATAAACCTGTGTGTGGATATATAAACTGAATGTTATGCCAATAATTAGTTGTTTAGTTCAGTTGTCTACCTGTAGAATTTCAGCGTCGTACATATAATAATTTACGAGATACCTAATTAAATAAAAGTCATTAGAAGGTGCAAGTCCGTGGTAATCCGACCATGTTTAGGTGGTTACAAAAAAGCGATCACCCAGTCTATTGGGCTGTCTTTTAAAATGTTTAGTGTAATACACCTTACGATTTCGGTACAGTTGCGTACAGTGTTAAATACATTCAATATTTATTCATTATTATTACCTATTATTTATTTTGTGTTTTTCCCCAATTGATCTTAAGCACTAGTTTCTTTACTTAAAATTTCTTTAGTCTTTTTTACTACCGGAGCTACAATCAACAGAAAATCTGCACTGGTCCGCTAAAATTATAAATATGTAGATACATGTATGAACGATTCACCTTACTGCAATAAATCGAAAATTTAAACCAATAAGAAATCTTTTAATTTCTTTGATTTGATTTGATTTTTTTGTAAAGAAATAACACTAAAGTAATTGTATTTTATTTTGGGTGTATAGAGCTTAGACTTGAATGCATCCAAATATTCAAAGCAACAAGTCATCTACAATAAGTTAAAATAGACCGAATAGTAGAAGAATACAGTTGTAAATTAGAATGCATCAACATTGCATCGCCCAACAGTCGTATTCCTCGTAAGAGTAGGTAATATTGTTCTGTAGTCTATACCGAGAACCGAGAATTATCTATACCTATGTACCTACCGTTAAGCGTTGAGCCCGTGACTGTTGATTTCTGTTAAAAACGAACAGTTGTTAAATGATATTTTGATATAATAACGGTAATTTAATTTATCGAGTGAAAGTGATACATTTTTATAGATAAAATTATTGGTCAGATAATATTTGTCAATCAAGAATCGCTGATAATACATCCTTCGCTAGAACGCGGGAGGGGAGGGGCGAAGGGATACTTCATTGTTTGCAATTTGCATCTAGTGCACTAAACTTGACCCTTAGGCAGATAATATACGTGTTGTAAAGTACGTGTGCGCTTCCGCTTTATATTTTTGCAAATATTTATCGTATTCTTGAGAGTTCTTCAATATGTGTTTACCTAATTACTAATAATGGGCATTAATGCTAATTCGATTCAATTTAAGTAATTGTCAATTCTTGTCTTAGGATATTAATTACTAATGCTAATATTGAAATTTCGTTCAGGGTGAACCAATTAAAAACGATCATAACTTGTAGGTAGGTATATCACTTATTACTAATTTTATATAAATAATTTATTTTATTATAATTTAACTCACCGCGATTTTGTGATCAAATATTTTATTTTCTCCAACATTATTACAGAAATATTGCAATACACAGTTTGTTCGCGATATGCTAGACTAAGTCAATTCATCACTTTAAAAAATCCCCATCTATTCACAAAATACCTATTTACAACGCATACGTTACACTCTTCAAAACTTAAATTACCTATACCTACCCTAAAATTAAACTTCAATTAACAAATACTACGCAGGTACCAATTCTATGAACAACTATAAACAATTCACCTTAACATTACGAGAAAACAAAAGCATTCAAAACAATACCTAATCTCCCGGCTGATTACTAATTATGCAATAAACAATTCTAAATAAAAATTATTTAAAAAACATGTAGTTTTTTGTAACACTTATGTACATATTCGTAGTAAGCTTGCAAATAATATCCTACATATTTTAAAAGCCAGCACAATGTACTGGGTGATCGCTTTTTTGTAACCACCTAAACATGGTCGGGTTACCACGGTCTTGCACCTTCTAATGACTTTTATTTAATTATCTCGTAAATTATTATATGTACTACGCTGAAATTTTACAGGTAGACAACTGAACTAAACAACTAATTATTGGCATAACATTCAGTTTATATATCCACACACAGGTTTATCGGTGGCCAAAAAATGCCGCACACATTGTGATCGTGAACGTGGAGAGCTACATTTCATCATAACTTTTTAGTCACTTATAGTATTCTTACGAAAATTCGTATACATTTGAAGGTAGTTACAAGCAATAGAATAACGTTTGAAGTAAGTCTTTAGAGGTCTTATTTAAAGTGTTAGGACGTATTGAAGTGTTTTCATACTTACCTAAATAATTTTTAAACGGTCCATTATTTTTGTTATTTTATTGTCGAACAAATTAAAACTAATCCTTAAGAAGTTATGTACAAAAGATGGTTACAATCCGCTTACCCGTTTCAGAGATCCAGCAAACCCACAAACGTTACTCCAGCAGGATTTCGAATAACTTCGCAGCCGAAGAAAATACAAATACCAAATAAGTTGTAACATTTACCTAGTCCAGATAACTAATTATCTAGCTAAAATTTATTTCAATATTACAATTAAAAAAGAAAATGTCTGGCTGCGGTAACGTTTCAAACGTTACCCCAGCAGGAAATGTTTTTTTGAAATAACTAAAAAAGTTTAAGAGAAACAAATTTAAAAATGTGCCTAACAATTATAGAAGGGGAGCAACTAATTATCTATAACGTTTAAATGACCATTTTCGACATTATTTTGCTGGGGTAACGCACACAATAAATGAATATTTTTCTTGACATACACTAATTTTTAATATATATATATTGAGAGGAGACTGTCATAATACCAATTTCGTTAAACTTGTGACTGCCTATAACGGAGATTATAAATTGCGCGAATAGCTCTCTTTTGCAACACAAAGATACTCTAATGGCAGCAGCATTTCCCCACAAAAAAATACCGTATGACTTTACACTACGAAAATAGCTAAAATACACTAGTCTAGCTGTTTCTACATCGATTAATTGACGAATTTTCTAAACCGCGTATGTTGCAGAGCTGAGTCTATTCGACAATCCATCAATGGGTGGGCCCCACTGCAATTTAGTGCCTAGAGTTATACCCAAAAACTTAGTGGTGTCTATAAGATCCACTGGTTTTTATCTGCTTAACATTAGGTGTAAAAAATATAATACATTTCGTTTTTTTCTCGTTTAAAAGTAAGTTATTAACGTTGAACCAGTTCACGACCGTCGGAGTTGGAGAGAGTGTTACTCACGTCGTCAATAACTAATTTCTGTCGTTTCAGTTTAAATAAAAGTGAAATGTCATCTGCAAATAGCACTATCTCCTGATTATCTTTTATCAGATTAGGTAGGTCATTTATATTAACGAGAAACAAAAATGGGCCAAGAATTGAGACCTGCGGAACTCCATAGTGACCAAAGACCTGTTCATTAACTTCCACTCTGGATCCTACTACCCAAATAAGAGATAAGAAGATCCAAAGCAGTACCTGCCTTATTCCATACTAATGCAATTTTCTGATCAATGTTTCATGAAAAACGCAATCGAATGCCTAGCCAAAACACACCCAGCGCATCCCGTTTATCCTCCCAGGCACCAAATATACTTTTCAGAAGTTCAACATACGAATCACTTGTCGAGCGACCTCTTCTGAAGCCAAATTGTTTTATGTGTAGAATATTGTTTAGACTAAAGTGAGTTTGCAGCTGCTCTAGCATTACTTTCTCAAAAATTTTACTGAAAGTAGGTAACACTGAAATAGGTCATAATTTGTAGGATCAGACGTGCTACCCGCCTTAAATAAAGGAATGATCTTAAATCTTACTATACTTCATTAGGTCAGGAAATACACCACATTCAATGCCCTTATCATTGAAGGTTTTAACGATATCTCTATCGGTGACACAAATACATCTTAACTTATACTTTGTCCTCTTTGATGTATTACCCATCTTACATAATATTCATCAATCTATAAGTACATTTGAAATTAAAAGAAATATTTTAAAAATTACAAACATTTTATTGTATACTGAGATCTCTAATACTTCTCTTACATCTTATATAATACATTAAAATACAAAGACATTTGAAGTTAAGTGTTTTAAAAATTATAAATCTTTATTGTATCCTGAGATCTCTTTAATGCTTTACCTATCTTACATCTTAGATAATATTCATCAATGTATAAAGACATTGAAATTAAAAGAAATTACAAACATTTTATTGTATACTTTTTGTATACTGAGATCTCTTTAATACTTTACTTTTCTTAGTTAGATAATACATCAACATACAAGGCATTTAAAGTTAAATGTTTTGAAAAATTACAAATCTTTATTGTATGTTAGGACCTCTTTAATGCTTAACTCATCTTACATAATTCATTAATGTATAAAGACTTTTGAAATAGTAAGAAATGTTTTAAAAATTCCAAGTCTTTGATGGTATACTGAGACGACTTTAAGCCTTTACGCATTTTACATCTTAGATAACTCTTCAATGTACAAAGACATTTCAATTAGTTGCACGTGTGCCTTGAATTGTTTGTACCAATTATTGTATTTGCTACTAATGTCAGACCTCAGTTCCATACCCTTATTGCTTTTCTTACTATAGATACTCTCAACATCAATTTTTTCTTTAATTTTCGGCGGCACGCTTTTTGTAGACCTGCTATAAAGACATGAGTGAGTATTGTAACCATCATCACCATTACTTGTAGGACTTGCTTGACTACTATTCAATATTGTATGGTCATCGGGTGTTTTACTTTTTTTATTGATAATGTTATCATCATTATTACTTGAAGGACTTACTTCACTACTATTCAATATTGTATGGTCATCGGGTGTTTTACTTTTTTTATTGATAATGTTATCATCATTATTACTTGAAGGACTTACTTCACTACTATTCAATAATGTATGGTCATCAGGTGTTTTACTTTTTTTATTGATAATGTTATCATCATCATAACTTGTAGGACTTGCTTCACGACTATTCAAAAATGTATGATCATCGGTTATTTTACTTTTTTCGTTGACAATGTTTTTTGATTTCATCTTGTCTGTCTCACAGTCCGTATCACCTTGTAATCCTAAAAGAATATTTGGGTAACTTTCAGCATTTGACCCGGAATCAAAATATGTTTTAAAAGTATCATCTTGAACTGCAATAGCCTCATTGCTTTCAGTGTCATGTACTTTGAAAGAATCCATTAAATCGTTAAAAGATTCTAGTTTAATTTGTTCAGATGCCTCATTTGAGAAGAATATTTTTGCAAAATTTTTATCTTCCACATTACTATTCTCGAGTGCTTGATATTTTGGTATCTCTGCCAACTCATTGCAATGATCATTAAATGTTTCTTTCTTTGTATTTAATAATTTAACTTTTTCTGTTTCTAGTGTTTTACACTTGCTGTCAACTGTATCAGATGTTTCACAACTTAGTTCTATTTGGGGTGTTTCACTCATTTTTTTAATATTGGAATTGTTGATTTTCCCTACTTCTAGTACTTCATGGATATCTTCGACTGATGGTATTGTAGTTACTCCTTCTATTTGTGACGTTTTGCTTATTTCTTCTGTTTTTGATATTTTACACTTTTCATTTTCTTGTGATTCATCTATCTCATCATAGTCACTTAACTCATTACCATTTGACAAATAATTAATTTTTAAGGAATGGCTTATGGTTCTTATAGTTTTTTTTAAGTTTTCAAGTTCTTTTCCCTCACTCACAATGGAAACAGCAATACCATATGATCCAAATCGCCCAGCTCTTCCAATCCTATGTAAGTATGTTTGCCAGTCACTTGGAGGTTCAAAATTAATAACAAGATTTACATTTGAAGCATCAATACCTCTTGCTGCTAAATCTGTTGACACTAATATTCTGCATTTATATTCTTTTAATGTTTTTAATGCATCTAAACGTTCAGTTTGTTCTAGTTGACCATGTAGTTTATCTGCAGGCCATTTTTTTTGCACTAACATCTTACATAGTTCTCCTACCCTTACTTGATAATTACAGAAAATCAAACACTGTTTAAATTCTATAGTAGATAAAATATTCAGTAATTCTTCAAATCTGTTTTGTGTTTGAACTACAATATTCATGTTGCTTTTTACGGTTGTAACAAACTGTTTAATTCCTAAGAGTATATTTGTACTGTCTGGACATATGTGCTGAGCCTTTTGAACATAGTTTTGCAAAATGTCTTTTAATGTATCTGGATATGTAGCACTGCTCATAACTACTTGCTTTTGTTTAGGTAAAATTGAGAATATGTAGTTTATATCTGCTTTAAAACTTCTATCCATTAATTTATCAGCTTCATCAAGAACTAACAGTCGTACAGCTGAGACATCTATGTATTTCTTTTGAATTAAATGCCTCATGCGCCCTGGGCTACCAACAACAATGTGTACCTTCTTCTGAAATTTTTCTATATCTTCTTCTACTGGAAGTCCACCCATAACAACTTCAACATTTAGACCTGAAACAAAAACTAATATTCTCAATATTTATCAATCTTATTCTGAATTTCTAATGTGCATACCATCTTTATGCCAATGACTTGCAGCTCTATTACCAAGCCTCGATAGACGACATAAATGAGGCCACTTTTATGGTTAATAATGACCTGGAAGTTACAAAAGATTGGGCTAATAGGTTTGGTTTGACTGTGAATCCAGGGAACTAATGACTGTAAGGTTAGACTAAGGTAATCTGCCATCTATTTCTTTTCACGGCATAATTATTCCCTCAGTTCTTTAGGCGTAATTATGGTTAGGTAGAGAGGTTATTGTCCCTATCTTGGATTATGGTGATGAATGCTATTGTGGACTCAATAAATATAACTGCCTTCTGGATAACTGCATTCAATTTGTCTTTTACTTTCGCAAACATGACCATGTTTCTTCCTTTCGTCTAGAATTAAATTGGCTTACGATTCGTTAGCGCTGTCAACTGCGCGCCCTCACCACCCTCTATTTCATTCTCAATTCACCTATTTCCCCTTCCTGCCAGACATCTTCATTCCAAATTTCTATATTCCAATCACAATAGAACACTTGGTTCCTCAAACAATCCAATTCTGCTATGCCCCACTCATACTTCTTTCTCATACACTGGAATGCTCTCCCTATGGAAATCGGGATAGCACTCTGCCATTTATCATTCCAGACGAAAGTTCGAGCTAACATTTTGGATACCCTAGCAGATTCATCACAACGTTAAAGTTACATTTGTTTGTAACTTAGGAAGTATATATGTATGTGTATGTATCTAGTATGTATGTATGTATGATATTTGTCCTATTGTTTCTGTCTAACTTCTCAATAATTTCTCTTTCTTTTAAAAACATTAATTTCGAATGCCCCACACATTTTCACACCACCCTAAGGTAGTCTGAGAGAAAATGCCTGTGGTAGTGCACTTCTGGACATAGGTCTCTCCAATTGCACACCACTTAGATCGATCTTCGACTTCTCGCATCCATCTCCTGCCAGCCATCTTGCGCACTCCACCTGGTTTGTGCGCTCCTATACTACGTTTGTCGAGATGCGGTCTTCGCTCAAGAACTCGTTCACTCCAAAGTAGCTTGGTTAGCTCACTAGCCAACCTCTTCTAGAAGCATAAAGAACCACTCTCGAGCCTGAATGCGGGAATCAGAGCCCATAACCAATACTCCAATGGTTGCAACTTTAGCTATGATGGGCAGGACGCACTGATTGAAAACTTTATGTATGTAATTTTAATACTGTGTGTGTGTCTGTCCGTCCTTCTGTCTTTTATCTCTTCACGCTTAACTGCTAAACCGATAGTCTGACTTCTGGAAAAGGACAAAGGGTAATTTCATCCCAGAAATCATCCTTTTAGGTAGTAAAAAAGGGAGGTGGAAGTTTGTTTAGTTAATCAATAACCGCTGAACCGATTTAGATAAAATTTGGTATGGACAACGCCCGCATTAGGAATATTTCCTGTGTCGCGGAGGCTTTACAAACATACATGAAACGGACACAAAGAACACCCCAGACTCGGAACAACAATTTGTGTAATCCACAAATTGTCATCTCATGTGGGAATCGGACCCACAACACTCAGCTTAGTAGGAGGCGGCGAGGCGACCGCTTAAACCACTACGATATCCATGCAGTCGAAACTCACTTACACGTAAATAGTGGTTCACTTCACACATTTTAGTGAAGATTAGTCATGTTATAGAATTATTGTAATAGTAGGCCAAAACCTCCTTTCTAAGCAGTCCAGCAGTGGACTATTAAAGGCTGTTGATGTGATGATGTGAGAATTATTGTACTTACTTTACAAATGTAGTCTCTCAATGCTAGTTAAGTTAAAATTGCTATTGCCAGCCAAAATACATGTTTTTACCTAGTTTGGCAATGGAGCCTATCTCATGTTTAAAGTGTAACTTACACTAGTTTAATGTTGCACAAATTGTATTTCTGTTGGAACAATAAATATTATTATTATTTAACTTACCAATATATTTTGAGCCTATTTGCTTGATGACATCAGTGATTTGGGCTGCTATTTCTCTTGTGGGTGTCAGTATAACAGTCTGTAAAGCCTTATCCAAGTCAATTTTTTCCAATGCAATCACAGTAAAAACTGCTGTTTTACCTGTCCCAGACTTTGCTTCCAGAAAAAGATCTGCAAATATATGCAAACATTGCTTACTTGGTACACACTTAGTACTGAATGTAAGAACTGAAGCAATCATGTAGTATAACTACTTATAACTTATATTGTTCTGCAGTTCTGTATTTACAGAACAATAAAGATTTCATTGAAACCTGCCTAGTTCAGGCACTTTTCTTCACTGTAAGTGACTTGTTAAGTATGACTCTTTTTGTTCTAATTTTTTAACACATGCCACTAAGGTTATAGAATACTATTAATATTAAATAGGCACTAATTCTAAAGATGGTTTTTATTACAAGATTTGCAAAATATTTTTCTGAGAAATAAATTTAGACGCAAACGGGCAGTAATTGTATATAGACCGACACAGTCAGACAACTATCTTAATTATTTTCGACAAGAAAAGTTAAATTATTGAAACAATAGATGTGAGATAGTAGATCCCACATCTATTGTTTCAATAATTTAACTTTTCGAAATCAACCTATTGCTTCAAAAAGGACAGATTTTAAACAATTTTACGAAATAGTCAGTCACATAGTGTGACTGACTATTTCCACTTTATTATTTAAATAATAACTTTTGTAACAAAAAGTGTGGGTGGATCTTAAAAAGATACTAGGAGTTTATTTTTTATATCATACCGAATCCACATTTTCCAAGAGGTATACCATGGAGCTGTATTGGAGAAGGTTTATAAAATCCAGACGTCTTCAAGCCCTCCAATGTATCATTTGAGAGGAGCATTGAATCAAATGTAACATCGACAGATATTTCAATATCTCGAGTTCTTGCACCCTCCATAAGATTGTGAGCTAGAACCATTATTAAAGATTAAATTAAACTTTGAATTAACGAGTAAAAAGTTAATGAAGTGCTCGATCTCGAAAACACACTAGAGATGGACGATATACATCGATTTATTTAAAACACTCGATGTATAGTAACGATGCATCGTATTAAACCGATGTATTGTTAATACTTCAACATCGAATATATATCGATGTTTTTTATTCGATGCATCGACCAAGCAAATTATGAATGAGTATAGTGTTGTATAGCCGCCAAATAGCTATAGTTTATTGAACGGGGTTCTTTTAATTCGCCCGTTGGAACGCTGTAGGTCGTTCGACTAGTATTATTCGTTTGTTCGCGGGAAAATTAAATTAAACTTGATTTTTATTATGTGAAAATACTAGATTATGAATTCACTTTAAATAAATACTCGCTGAATTGAACGAAGGAACCGACTGAAGGGGAAGAGATTAAGTAAACTTTTGTTTTTACATGGCATTGACAAAAAATATTGGAATATGTAAAGAAAAATGTGTTGGTTGTGTGATTTTGAATTTGAATAAATATACACGGTGATTTTGAAAGCGTTTTGGAAAAGAAAATTTTGAATTATTTATCAGTAACAGAAGCTATATATAACGTTAATTTAATAAAATATATATTTTTTTTATCATCAAAGTCGATATTCATATCGTTTACAGAGAAAAAGTCAGAACCAGTGGTAGTAGGCTATTCAATCACACGTAGGTAAATACTACGAATAGAAATACTATGCGTTTTAATATCGAGTCACATCAAATCGTATTCGCCAATAAAAACAAAGCTACCGAGTTGCGCCGGAGTCGTCCAACCAATGACGTCTGCCCCGTAGGCGACAGTACGAATTGAAATGAGTCGACAGTACGAATTTTCAAACGTGGAATACTTCTTGGCAATGGTACAGCTGTACGCTACTGCCAACTACAACTTGGAAGAGGCTCGGCGTTTGTATTCCCAGCCGGAGCATTTAAATGCACTACGGCTACGTGGAATTGAAAGCCCTCAAATTCCCTCCACACCTACCATCTTGGCTGCAACCCAACGTCTTCTCGACCACGGACAATTTCGTGCGCCTACTCATGCGCAAGGTCAAGGACGTTTTAATTATTATTCGCCGGTGTAGTGCGTGCATACCTGGACAATGAGCTTAGTGATCGGTGGATAGGTCGAGGAGGGCCAGTGCCTTGCCACCTAGAAGCCCGGACTTAACGCCCCTGGATTTTTTCTTATGGTCGGAAATAAAAAGACTTGTTAATACACGGGAATATGAAAGCCGTGATAATTTACGCATTGCGATAGTGGACGCTTTTGATAAAGTGAAAAGTGATAGAGACACATTAAGAAAATTAAAAAACAATTGCATTAAACGTGGACGTTTGTGTATTGAATGCAGCGGACTCCATTTTGAGCAGTTCCTTCGATACAGAGAACTGTAAATAGTGTAAATAGGTATGTAAGTTAATTATTCTGTAGATAGCTCCGATTTTTTAAATACGCCTGAAATATTTATACCTACAGTCCGTTGATAAATTGATTTGTTGTGAAAAGAACAATCGTGGTTAATAATTGTGACAAATTGGAGTCTATCTACGTAAGTACTCGCTAGCTCGCGCCTATAGGTGTACTTTTGTCAGCTGCTGTGTTAGCGTCGGCGGTGCGCAGCGGCCGCCGAAACGCCCACGGACGTGTTTCATTCATATAAGATAATGAATGAACGATCAGTCCATTACTAATTTCCAAGTCGATCGAGTAAAAATGAATATTAAAACTGAAACTTTTTTTTAGACAACATTACAATTGATTTAATCATTTTTATTGGTACTATAGATGATTCCAAATTCAAATATTTCGTTTCCAAAACGCTTTCAAAATCACCGTGTATTTCCTGCTTTTATTAATTTTTTTTTTTTTTATTAAGGCCTTTTTTTTTTTTTGGTCTAACCTAACCTAAAACACGTCATGGCGAAAATAATCGATGTTTAAGAAACATCGATGTATTTCTCAATACATCGTATTACCATCGATGTGACCGATCGATGCATTACATCGAAAAAAACATCGATGTATATTTTAAATGTCCATCTCTAAAACACACGTTACTAAAAGAACATGTCTGTCTGTTCTCTAAACGCCAAAACTTGTCACAAAAGCCAGGCAGTGTTGCCAACAGTTAAATCAACTTCACCAGACAATATTGCTTATAGTAAAATGAACTCTCTGACAACACTGAATTATGTATGGCTAGTCTACTTAGACCTAATATTGTTAACTTTTAATTTTCTCCTGTGCTTTAGGGGGACATCAAAAAGGTCATTCTGTCAGTTGGAATTATATTATCTTCACACTAGCGATTAGGCCGGAAGTGTCAGATCAATGCGCACAATGTGAACCCCGTTTTTCTTCAAGCCAGCGGCAGCCATATCCTTTTTCATTCTTGCTCCGCATTCTCTTGTGTGCAAATCTACATCTTTACACATTTACGAGCAGAGCACACTGCTCGTAGATGTGTAAAGATGTAGATTTCTTATATAAAAATATACCTAAAACATTATTTGTAGTAGCTCCTAATAAAAAATGTCGTGCACCCAAAACCATCTCTTGTAGGATTAAGATCCAACACTGTCTCCCTGTTGTAACATAATAGTTTGGGATGACATTAGCCGTAGGATGATAGTTACCATCCTGGATTACTTCCTCGAAGTCATAGCCCACATTATTGACTTCTTTCTCGACTCCGGAACTTTTCCCCCCTCTCTGTCACAAAGTCTACATCATCCCATTACCTAAAATTAATAATCCTTCTCTTCTTGAGCACTTCCGTTCAATTTCCACACTTCCTTTCCTTTTAAAGGTTCTTAAGGTTTACGTAGTCAAACAGATCTCACAGTTCATCTTTCAACATCATATTTTAAGTCCTCTATAACCTTACTATTACAACTAAACCAATAGCAAAATTCACTAGCCACTAAAAGCAATATTTCACCAGTAACAGGCGGTGAAAAACTACCAGTTTTAGTGTAAAATCTGCCACGTTGGTAACACTAGCCGAAGGTGTCACCAGTGTTGTCCAATTAAAAAAAAAACAAGAAAGCTTTAAAATGAAGCAGTAGATTCGTATAAAAATTTGAAGGTAGTTTCGGAAGATTATATTTTTATAACCATAAAGAGGTTTTATGCAACACAATGAATAACACTCATAAATTAACTTATGATTTGAAATATTAAATAAAATTAAATTTAAAAATAAAATAAAAGTTCTCCAAAATATAAATATGATTGTATTATCATACATTTGTTAAAATTTTGCACTAGACACACAACTACACAGACAGGTTGCTGAATATAAAATGAGATGTTGGTTTGATATCAATTCGATGACTTTAACTTTAATTGTTTGCCTGGAATCTTTTTCCTTTTTTTGCATATGAGAAATTTAATGATATGAGAATATTAAACTACTTCACGTCGTCAGGTCTTTACGTTTTCTGTTGTTACTCCTTTCTAGTAGTCGGTCTTGAACGCTACAAGCATTATTTGTTACATAAAAAAAAGTAAGTAATAATAATAAATACGTAGTATATAGCTTGGAGTATGACTATAGAGAGAAGAAAGAAACACAAAAACAAAAACTTGAAAAACTTAAAATCTTCAATTTTTCTTGCGGTTTTTATTCTAAATGAGTAAGTAAATTTTTCGAAGCAGTATATTAAGCCCTTGTACTAAACAGTGCTCTTCTTGGTGTTTTGCCATAAGCTTCACATTCCGAAGAATGTTGTTGTTTATAAGTGTTGTTATTATGTTGTTAAATTATTAAGTTGGCCACATTTACTTTAAATTGTTTACGATTAGGATTTGTCACTACCCCAGTTTTTATTGCCAAAATTCGTGTGAACCCGTCTCAACGAAGGCAGTCTTGCCCTAAATTAATTTTACTTCCACTATATGATATTTTACTCCCTCGAAAAATATCTCGACTCGTTAAACTTATCTCTTAACTCTACTACCAACACAATTTTAAACAAAATATTTTTTTTGTATTTCCTAGTACTTTGAAAACTGTATTATAACTTTTCCTCCTCTCCCACAGAACCACGAACACAAATTGTTAAAAATCACAACAATACCCTTATTGTCTTAAAAAATTCAACCCATTAACTAATAAATCTACCTTTATCGATATCGATATCGATAATCGATGGAGCAATTGAATTATAAGAAGAAGACAAGGGCATATATTATATCCTGCAGAACTACCTAAGCTATTCTTTGTGCCAATAAATAATCTTAAAAGGGGTGCAATGCAATAACGAATGAAATTTTATATGGGCAATCCATCATTCTTCAAGTCATCATTCTTAAAAAATGTATGTTTTGACTTTTAATAACAAATATAGAAGATAACCTAAGAATTGAACGAATCTCTTAGACATACTTTAAGGTTGTGTTATTAATTAATAATTTATTTCTTGGACATTTGTTTGGAGATTCTGTCGTCGTCCGTTTGGTTAGCACGTGCGTCTAGAATTCTTGTGTGATTTTGTGACTATTGGGTCTTTTTTTTTTGTTATTTTGTGCTGTCCTATTGGTTACGGTGTGTTGTTTGTAACAAAACATTACCGGTAAGTGAACATGAACGGAAATAAACCGCCCGACCCTCCCGATATTCCATATCCAGTAACCCCTCCTTTCACCCCTACTCCTTCCCTACCCGATCCACCCTCAACCCCTTCCAACCCCTTAGAACAGTTTGCCAATGTGATCTGCAATGCAGCGGTCCAAGATAATTGCCCTCTCGCTACAAACTCACGTAAACGGCATGTGAACGATGAGGTAAGTACCCCCCCTATTAAACGTAGCCCTAATCAAGTAAGAAGCCCGCTAGGTCGTGACAAGTACACGACAAATGATACTGGTCCCTACATTGTGCATGTTTCCCGCATGGAGACCCAATTGGGTTCTGGCACAACTCTCCACCCTGTCTCTTTTGGTGT